AATGTCACCCTCAAGTACTGAAATCTTTTAATCTTCAATAGCTTGGTCATGATGTCAGCCAGTTGATTTTTGGTCCTGCAGTGTTGTAATTGAATTACCTCCTTGCTTACTTGATCTCTCAAAAAATTATACTTTGTCTCTATGTGTTTACTCCTGCCATGAGACACTGGATTTTTGCCCAGGTTTATAGCAGACTTGTTGTCAACAATTAATACAACAGAATATTAATAACGAACCTTCAACTTAGTGAGAAGAGAAAGCAGCCATTAGGCTTGACATGCTGTGGAGCAAGCTGATATATATTCAACTTCACAGCTTGATAAGGCAACTACTGTCTATTTTCTTGAATTCCAGCTAAATGTTGAGTCATTCAACATAAACACTTGGCCTATAGTACTTTTCCTGTCAACTTGATCACCACTCCAGTCAGAATCTGAGTATGCAACCAGCCTTATATCACAATTTTTACTCTTCAGTAAACAACAACCCATACTCCACAGTCTCTTTTAAATACCTTAATATTCATTTTGTCGCAAGCATATGAGACTGTTTTGGTCTACTCATGAACCTGCTCACCAGACCAACACTAAATGCTATCTCAGGTCTGCTTTGGATATGAATCTCAGACAACCTACAATCTGTCAGTTTCATTTACAACTTCTTCATCTTCATTTGTTGCTGAAAGTTTCAAGTTTGCCTCTGCAGGAGTTGTAGCAGAGTTACACTCCAGCATATTAAACCGTTTAAGCACCTCTGTTATGTACCTTCGTTAGTGTATAATGATTTCATTCTCAGTGTAAATGAACTTACGCCCAAGGAAATATGACAACAAAACTAAGTCAATAATTTCAAATTCATGTTTCAACTTTTTTTTAACTAATTCTATGTCATCTTCATTACTTCTTGTTATCACCAAATCATCAACATAAAGACAAATGATGAGGACTTCACTTGACTATGTGGTCTTCACATATACATCATGCTCCACAATGCATTTTTGAAACCCAACACTACTAAGAAATGTGTCTATTCTTTCCTTCCAAGCCCTTTGAACTTGTTTTAACCCATATAAAGCTTTCCTCAGTTTAAACATTTTTTGTTCACTTCCCTTCACCTCAAATCCAGGGGGTTGCCTTACATAAATCTCCTCATCTAACCATCCATTTAGGAAGGCAGACTTGATATCCAACTACCACAGTTTCCACCCTCTAATATTGGTCAAAGCAACAATCAATCTTATTGTCTCTAACTGTGGCACAGGGGAAAAAACTTCAGAATAGTCTACTCCCATCTTTTGCATGAATCCCTTGGCTACTAGTCTAGCCTTATGTCTAGATATTGACCCATCTGGTTTCATCTTTACCTTGAACACCCACTTAACAGATATTGGAGTTTTGTGTGATGGCACATCTACCAATTCCCAAGTCAAATTTTTGTTAATACCCTCCAGCTCTTCTTCCATTGCTTTTACCCAAACCTAATCACGAATAGCTTCATCAAAGCTAACAGGCTCTATATCAGCTATAAGTGCCAATTCTTGAAGCAAATCTCCATCATTGATAATTCCATCATCCGTGTAGCTTTGATAGTTAGTAAATCTAGATGGAGCCTTTCTGTTTCTTACTATTTTGTCACTCATCTTCTGTGTTGCAGTACTTCCAGTTTCCTTCTCCATACTACCTTCTTCTAGCTAAAATGGAAGATTAGATGCAGTGGATTTTTGCAAATCTGAAACAGGGTTGCATTCATCAAATATCACATCTCTACTAAAACAAATAGTATGAAATACCTATCTCCACAAATAGAATAAAACACATATTTCCACCTAAAGAAGGTATATCAAATGGTCCACAAACATGTGAATAGACAACATCTAACAAACCTTTAGCTTTTGACATCGTGTGTGAACTAAAAATATTCCTGAACTGCTTACTGATCAAACATTTATCACATATTTCATTTGGTACTATTATTGTAGGTAGACCCGTTACCATATCATGTTTCTTCAAGAGACTCATGTCTTTAAAGTTTAAATGGCACAATCTTAAATGCCACAACCAAGACTCATCTACTGAGACAAATAAACTCTTTGATTCTAAGGTACTCAAACTTACCTTAAAGGTTCTATTATGAGCCAGTGAAACTTTAATTGTCAACCGTTTTGATGCATCAAATACTTCCAGCGAGTTATTCACTATCTTCATAGAAAACCCTTTTTCCAAAAGTTGACTCATACTTATCAGATTACTCTTCATTTCTGGGACATACAACACATCTGTAATCATCACTTTCTTTTCATCTTGTCTTGTTACCAAGATGTTCCCAGTTCCTTCAGCCTGAATCACTCTGTTATCTGCAAATTGTATGGTGTTTTTCTTGCTACTATCAAGTTTCACGAACCACTCACGGTACCCTGTCATGTTGTTTGAACATCCGAAATCGATGTACCAACTATCGCAATCAAGACCCCCTGAACTTGCAATCATCATCAATACCACAGGTTGTTCGTCAGATTCATCTTGTTCCTCTTTGACCATATATGCCTGATTATCACTATTTTTCCCTCTGCTCTCCATCTTCCTTGGTTCTGCTATGCATTCAGTGGAGAAATGCTCAATACGATTACAATTGAAGCATTTGATTTGCTTCCTGTCAATCTTTCGTTTGTCTCCTCTCTAATTTTCTGCCCCTTTCTGCTTCTTGGACGATTCTGCCTCTTCATCATTATTTCTTTCTTGTTCTTGATTTTGACTAAACCTCTCGGAGCCACCTCTAAAATTTCTTCCTCTTCCTCGACCCCAATAACCCCCTTTCAACCAATTGCTACTCTTCTTGGTTGCTTGGGCTTGCAACGCCTGATAGTCGTTTAGCTTGTCAGTTTCCCTTTTGAGTAACCTCTGTTCATGGGCTTCTATGCAACCCTGCAAATTCTACCTTCAACTCATTAATCTTCTTGAACTTTTCAATTGTCACGACAATATGATCGAACTTAGGGTTCAAAGTTTTCAAGGTTTTCAAGATTTTCTCTACGTTCTTCAATTTCTCCGCTCCCTCGCTACACTTCTCCAGTATTTGCCACGGCCCATGTGAAGTTGCAGCTCCTGCAATCTTCTCAAAATGGGTTTCATCCACACATTGATGAATCAGAAAAGTGGCTTTACAATCCTTCTTTTTGTTCTCCCGATAAAGCCTCTTCTCAGCCTCTGTGGCCCTCTCCCCAGGCATGGAGAATCCTTCTTCTACGACTTCTTGATATCCAAGAAGTGCTTTCATTTGAACGCATGAACGATCCAATTCTTGCCATTAAGACTAGGCAGATTTGATGAAAACACACTAGATCCTATCAAACATATGCTCTTTATACCAGTCATTGGGTTTTTATAGAAAGAGAGAGAGAGAGGAGTTTGAGAATATAGGATAAACGAGAAAGATAACAGGCACAAAAATGTAATAGCAGTAGCTTATTTTATTAAGTTATGTGTCTTGGTATTTATACTGCATACCAAGTCAAACTAATATAACAGAAAAAAAAAACAGAACTGTTAAACTTAGTTTTTAATTACATATATTAACACTAACAAATACTGACCCTACCCAACTCAACTCAATTTGACTTAACTCAGCATGATCAATATCTTTGGAAAGTTCATCCTTACATGGTCAATTTCATCTTAGATTTAATATGACATAATCCAACTTGTCATGACCTACTTCAACTTAACTTGATCTATGTGATTCGGGACCAATTCCTAGGATCATGATGTCAAGTCTAATAATAATAATAATAATAATAATAATAATAATAATAATAATAATAATTATTATTATTATTATTATTATTATTATTATTATTGTATATGATAGAAATTAAAATACTTTATTTAAGTTTTAAAAATGAAATTTAATAAATTTATCCAAATAAAACATTTAAAAAGTTAAGCAATTTAAAATAAAATTAATTCAAATTTAATATAATTTAATTTCTTAAAACTTGTAAAATTTTCTGTCACCAAAATTCAAATATATTATATTTGAAATGAAAAAAAAATTATGTTTGTTTGGTTATATATATATATATATATATATATATATATATATATATATATATATATATTCTAAATATAAAAATTAAATATTTGTTCTTTATTTTTATTGTAATTTTTTTAATCTAATTATACAAAATAATAAATCATCTTAATCATTTTTAAAAAATATGAATCATTTATATATATTTTTTCACTGTAATTTTTTTGATCTAATTGTATAAAATAATAAATTATCTTAATTATCATATTAAGAAAAAAATAATAAATGGTGAATTTTATATATATATATATATATATATATATATATATATATATAATCATGATAAATATTTTTGAGTTACGTTCATTCTTCTTCCACTTTGATTTTTACATTTTTTCCACGATATTTAATTACAAGAAAAAAAATCATCGTAAAATACTAATAATTAAATTAAAAAGTCTCAAAAATTAAGCATAACAATTAAATAATTTATTTTCCGTAATGCCCCTAAATGGTATCACCGCACGGCGCAAACGAGTTTTTTTTTTTTTATCAAGATGGCCTGAAAACCCAAAGAATATTGTCTCATACGCAGGGCACCACTTCTCGGTTGCTCTAGAATGCTAATGTCTGATAGAATATACACATATTATTAATTAATACAGGTAATTTTATGATTTTGATTGAATAAGACTCTAAAATGAATGCAAATATGTTTTGTATCCAAAAACTTGCTTAATTAGTCCAAAATTCTCTGTGAAACTCTAGATATATCGAACTTGCCGAGACCAGAAAGCAACAGAATTTATTAGCCTAGCCATAGTCAATGCACCAATCATAGCCTACGAGTACAAATACAACTGAATGATTAAGTTATTCTAATATAACACTCTTTACTTCATAAGTAAATTTCTAATATATCAGGTGCATCCACTGATACTTACTACATTTTATTAATCATGAGGTTACCTTCTTTACTGGGGATTAGTAGCTCCTGTGTCTTTCGCCGAAGTGTCATGACCACTATTACGTACCAAAGTTGAGTGTTCAAACCCACCAATTGTTGCTTCACACTACCAAGACAAAAATGGACATAAACATCAACATGGCTATCACTTACAAAAAATGATAATGGAAGCGAAAATTTCAATTGAATGTTTAACCAAACCTTATTCCCAACCCAGATATATTACACAATCTTACGAATTTTGTTACCAAACAAACCTGTGTTGACATCTTAGTCGTTGAGCTACAACAATTGGTGTTTTGTGCATCTTGTGAATTCGCATGTGGCATAGGATCCTTTAAGCTAGAGGCTGAAACCGAATCAACATTTTCCTTAAGTCCTGTTTCACGGGCATTTAGTCCTAAAGTCGATGGTCTCATAAAGGGTTCCCCTGGAAATGAAAACATGGGAGCATGTGGCATTGGCATGGGGTGAACCTGACTTGGAAGCCCAAAAACTTGAGCATTTGGTCTTGGCATCGTGGAACCAGGTGCATGTGCAATGGGAAATTTAGTTCCTTGCATTTGGGGTACTTGAATCATTGGAAATCTAGAAGACTCAGCATTAGCATCATGCAGGCCCATGCCCATGCCACAACCCACTCCTAACCTCATTTGCATGCCAACACCTATAGGAGAAAAAGGGCCCATATGTGCTGCATGCATGTGTTGGATTCCCGGAGGTAACATCATTGCAGGCAAGTATAAACCAGTTCCCATTGACATTATCTGTGTAAAAACATCGGAAACAGTCTCACCATACAATGGATCATACATAATTTCATCAATCAAAATTCAAAGGATCAATGGAAGAAAGAATACTTGAAGTTGGAGTTGAAGTGTTTTGAGATACTCTATTGCCTCATCCAACATTGAAGCTTTATCCGTCTAATACACATGAAATCAGAAAACTATGATAAACTAGAATATAAAAATAGAACTTAACTATGTTATGTTGACAGAATAAATCATCAAAAGCTTTTTCTATAATTATAATCAAGGCATTGAAACTGAAATTCTGCTATTCTTATCATGAACATTAGTGAGAGCTCATGTTTTATATTCAAGTTGAAAATTTAATTGAAAGCCTATATAAACAAATGCTAAACTTCAGCATTGACATGTTATGCTGTAAGTCCTCACTAGCATGGATATAATATTAATTACTACTGTTAAACGCGTGCTCAGACCTAGAAAAAAAAAAAATCAAGCAAAACATTCGAAAGTAACTTTATCTTAAATTTTCTTTCAAGATTATATTTTTCTGACAACTCTACAAGAAGTTCCAAAGTTTTTATAATAATATTATAGGTTCCATCAAATAAAACAATCAATAACATATCCACTTAAAGCTTAAATTCATAGTGATAATCAACCTACTATAGTGTCAAAAACTTTCAAAGTGTACCAAGCAAAAACGAGAAAATAAACTTCCACCTTATTGCAATTTGGTATTAGTTCTTGTAATGCACGCATCTTCTCATTGATCCTGTCTCTTCGTCTCTGCATAAACAAATCCCAAAATTTTACTATCATATACATCAGAAACAATATAATTAACAAACATTTAATAAGGAACATTCGTTATAATTTAATTAACACAACACAAACAGCAGATGGTCTTGCGTACCCTTTCAGATAGATTATGCACTTCAGCTGAACGGCTTCTCTTGGCTCCAATTCGTCGTGCAGGAACCTCCTTTCTAACATCAACTGATTCTTCCTCAACATCCTTGAATTAAAAAGAAAGAAAGTTATTATAGTGGAACGCCATAAACAAATAAGAAAACAATATTAACATAAAAGACACAGTAATTCTAAGAAACTAACATCAGTTTGGCTATCAAAGTCCTCTGTGTCTGTACTTTTTCTCTTCAAATTTTCATTTGGATCCTTCGAACCCCTCCCTGCACCATTGCCAGAGCAAACAGAGGAGGAGACTACAGCTGGCTCCACATTTTTTCCAATAGCTTCCTTTCCTTTATTCCCACTTTCTCCAACGACCCCAATTGAAGTTTGATCAATCCTGGACACATCTTTGCAAGAAGGGTCACACTTTGTAGAGACACTACCATCCTGCTCCAGAGTTTTTGGCTCCGTAACCTGATGACTTTGTATGGATGCTTTCTTTGAACACTCGCCACTTAATTCAACTTTCGTTGATTCAGAAGGATTGGTTACACTTACAGTTGCAGCAGCAGCACCTTTAATCTTTAGTCCCACAATTCCTGATCTTGATGTCAAGCCAATGTTCTGAAGGTAAGCTTTGACAATAGCAGCAGGCTTTGCAAAATGGGAAAAATTCATCATGTTGGAACTATTGCTACACATAACTGGACCTTGCTTCTCCATCTTCAAGCTAGAAAAACCACTTGAGGAAGATGGAATAATATTTGTATTATTTTCAGCTATATCTGCCACCTTGGATCTAGCTGATGCAAATAGAGTGTTTTTATTAGTGTCCCTAAATACCTTACTACCACTATTTCTTCTATCTAACGAAGAAAAATTATTTGATGCTGAAGGCTCATTCATGGTGACCCCATATAGTTCATGCAAAAAATCAGAACTATATCCATGTTGCAAAGAGTCATCCATTCCATAATTCAACCAAGGCATCACCATGTCTTCCTCTTCTTCACTCAAATCCACCTCACCTGAAGGGACCAACCTTCTAACTTCATTCAACTCAGCTCCCAAATTCCCATACTTCCCCATCCTTGTGATGGTAACATTATTATTGTTAGCATATCCTGGAGGAGTGTGAGATGGTGAGCAATGAGATGGCAAAGTTTTACAATTTGGGTTCATTCTTGCTCTACTGGACTGACCCTGTAACGAAATCTGACCCTTTTTCCAAACCAGCTCAAACAAATCATTGTTGGGTCTGCCACAAAGGTAGGGTGAAAATAAAAAAGAGGAAACAAATCAGAGAAAGACAATAAGATAAAATCAAATGGGATTAACAAAAACATGCTATTGAACTTACGCAGAAGATTGATCAGGTGCACAACTGTTATTGTTCATCTTTTCAGTGTTAAGTTTCCCCTTATTCACGCGGTGAAACTCATGCAGAGGCATGAGGAACTACTGTAAAGAAACACTCTTATATTAAACTTAGCCACTATCGTTGTTGCATCCTACATCAATACAATGTTAATAGCGAAGTGAGAACCACCTTTCCCCAGCCCAAACATGGAAACCTGACGCTAGCCCCACCACGCTGTTTTGATTTGAATATAGAAGGGGAAAGATACGAAAGTAACAGCAATAAATAATTATTTGTGGAACATAAAATATTTCTTTTACTCCACGTTAGGAAAGAACAGTAACACACAGCTAAATAAATTAATGACAGAGAACATCAGGGTCAAACCAATTCTTTAATAACCATATATCATAAACAAATTAACATTGTCAAGTAACGTAAAAACCTCAAGACTTCAAAATGATTTGCTCTAATAGTTGTCCAATGAGCATTCAGTTCAAAATATATCCCTAGTTATAATACTATATTTCTATGGACCACACCACAGTGACACTAGTTCAAGGATGATAATTGAGACAAGACAAAGGGAGTGTAAATAACCAGAAAGACTAAAACGCTTAACAGGATATCTTAAAAAGAAACAAAAGTTCTTGACCCACAAATTTACTTAATGCAATAAAATAGAGTGATGATGATGTATTAGCAGTTCCACCTTGGGAGTTAATAAGTCACCGCTCGAACATAAGAGAAACCTCAAAGTTTCAGAATAGGAAGGAACGCAGAAGGCGGCGAGGAAGTTGCAGTGGAAAGCATTAAGAACAGTAAAGAACAGAAGAGACATGTAACATGTAACAGAAGACAGAGAAAATGGAATAGATTCAGGAGTTTTCTTTTTTCAACTATGGTTAATCAGGTGATTGTAGTGGTTAAGGTTGTGTGGGGCCCTCATTCTCTTGTGTGAAATCAATCTCATACAAATCCAACGGTTACCTTCAAGAAAGGCTCACGAGTGACTCACTAACATCACATGCCTATTGAGCGAGTGAAGCACATGCATGTTTTTGTCCTACGTGTGCGAACTTGGGAGAAAGGAATATCATAGTTTTCATTTTCTTGTTTGATTGTTTCACTCTTTGAATTTGTTGTCCTTCCAAGATATGGTAAGGGTTGGCAATGATAGCTCTGTGACTTTTGTGGTGGGTGCCTGGTGCTGTGTTTTTGTCACTTTAATAGATTAAAATGTATCTAATTTTTTAAATAATTTATATATGTGACTGTAGTTTCAGTAATTTTTTATCTACTTTTTGAATTTCTTGGAGAAGATAAAAAGACTATCTGCAGAAAACAGAGAAAGCGATTTGGCACCAAGATGAGAGAAGTGGTCCATCCTATAATGTCTGGAACATATGCCACATCATCGGATGAGTCAGAAGAACACTGGATCCGTTATAATCATCATGACGAAGACCAGTTTGTTGTGGCGTGGATTTCACATGATTTTTTCTTTTCTCTTTTCCCTGTGTTTTAGATGAGATGTGATTGTGACGTGAGCGTGTATTTGTATTTTAATGTTCAACCGTCCACTTCCCTTCCCTTTCTCATAATTTAGGATGTGATTTCTTTTTGTTTTCTTCTTCTTATAAATTAGTGTTAATAAAATCAGTTGATAAATCTCGATTAAATATACAAGTGAGATAATACAACACATACTTTATAATATTAAATTAAGGATCTCATGATAGATTAACAATGATGAAATTAATTATTCTGATTTAATCATTCAATAATATTATATCACTTATTCTTAAGTTGAGAAGATATCTAAGGAGTATGTTAAAAATTTATATTAGTAAAAATTATGATATCATAATAATATATAAGTTTATTGTTGGATAATAACTCTTAATAATATTAAATTTATTCTAGACTTAATTATCGGATTAATATTAAATCATTCATATTTAATGTGAAGAGATATGTTGTAAAATTTTAAATATAATAATATATAAGAGAATCCAATATTTATTTTGTTAAGATAATTTTATAAGATTAAATTAGATATTTCACCATTCAAAAAAATTGATTTTATAAAATTAAATGAAATATTTTCTCATTTCAAAAAAATCTCTTCATTATTTAATAAAATTATACTTAATTATATTCTCTTAACTCAATAATACTTTAGGCATAACATTACAAAAATCGTTTAAATCGTGTTACATGATTTTAAATTAAAAACTCGTCCAACGTAAAATAATTTTGTGATAAAAAAATAAAAATCATGTTTTTTCTAATAAATTTAACGTAGTTTTTTTTTAAGCTTAAGTTGTACTACGTAGTAGTACGATTTGAGTTTTGTTTTTTTAAATAATTAAATTATTTTTATTAAATATATATTATTTAAAATTAATAATTCATTTATTATTATATATTTATATTATAAAATATTATATTAATTATTTATTTTATTTATATTAATTATTATCTTATATCAATTTTATAAATAATAGAGATAGAAAAAATATTTTAAAAAATATATATTAATAAATGTAAATTATGTTATATTATTTATTTCAAAATTAATAATAAATATTATTTAGATAAATATATTATTTAATAATTGATGTAAAATAAATAATTAATATAATATTTCAAATAAATATATTATTTAAAAATATATATTATTTAATATTATAATAATAATATTATATATATATATATATATATATATATATATATATATATATATATATTACCTTTATTGTTTATATACTACTTATACAAAGTTTATATAAAATAATAATTAATATAATATTATATATAAATAAATATATTTATATAAAAAATAAATAAATCATAATTTTTTTAAATAATATATTTATCTCTAAAACTTAATTTAATTATAAAAAAACTATAGAAATATATATTATTAATTTTAAAATAAATAATATAACATAATTTAAAAATAAAAATAAATTTATTGATATATTTATTTTATTTAAAATATTTTTTTTATTTTATATAAAATAATAAATAATATAAATAAAATAAATAATAATATTTTATAATATAAATATATAATAATAAATAAATTATTAAATTTTAAATAATATATTTGTTTAATTATTAATTTAATTATTTAAAAAAACAAAAATAAATTCCTATTAGGTAATACAACTTTAGTTATGCATGAATATAACTAAAGTTGTACTATCAATATAACTAAAATTTTTATATAAAAAAAATACAATACAGAAAACACGATTTTAGTTCCTTTATCCTGAAATCGTTTTACGTTACACCATTTTTTTATTTTAAATTGTGTAACATAACACGATTTAACCCTTTTTAATAAATTTTAAAAAATTTGACCTATACTAATAAAATTCAAATATTTTTAACTCATATGGATGAAAAAGTCAGTGTTTTTGAGATTCTTGTGAAAAATCTACCTTCTCAAACTTATATTAGAAAATTCGACCAATCTTATAAATAAATTAAATTAAATTAAAAAACAAACTAATTTAAATTAAATTAAATCTATTTTATCTAACTCATTTAAATCATGATTTACATAAATTTAAATTAAATTAACTTATAATCTTATGCGTCGATATAGAATAATAATATTTTTTAAATAATAATATTATTATTTTCTTAAATATATATATATATATAATAAATTAATTTAATAAAAAAATTAATTTATGCTAAGAATAAATATAAATAAAATATTTTTCTATAATCTAATAATTAAAATGAATTTTTATTTTAGATAATCACTTAAAAGATGAATGATAAAAATAAAAAATAATTTTTTAACTCTTATATTTTTATTTTTTTATAATTTATATATTAAATTATTATATTTAAAAATAATAATTTCATTAATATAATTAAATTTTTTAAAACATAATTTTTATTTTTATTTAAATATTATTAATTAATTATTTATATATATACATTAATAATTTTTTAAAATTTTTAATTAGAGTAAAATTAGTTCATTACCGTAATATAATATTAAATTAAAAAAAAAACTATAATTCATTTAAAATATAGGTAAGGACCGTTCATTTTGAAAATTCAAGAAAAACCGTTCACAATGCGTTTTTTCTTTTTGTAGAATAAGGTTTTATCATTGTTGAGAATTTAACTAGGTGTTTGATAGTAGAAAAATGTTATTAGTTTTTTCATGTTATAACTTCAGTTATTCTTGACACTAGTGGAAATGGGAGCTTAATGGTTCCAAATTAGGCAAACATGTTCATTTTGTTGAATGTGCTTCAAATTCAATCACCAATAATCCCTACATGAGCACGATCCCTTTGTGAATCGATGAAACCTATTGATATCTCTCACAAGAATTTCTCTTTGAAAGATCTCTGAAGCAAACTTCATAACTGTATGGCAATCACCACAGGTCCTCAAATTCTTTTTTATCCTCACCGGTGATCCAGGTGGGAGGACCAGAAGTCCAAATGCAAGAGCTAATTTCTCACTGTGACACCACAAACTCTGCTCTTCAGAGCCTTCCACAATGTTAGTTGCAAACTGGGTCTCAGCCACATACCCTCTCTTCTTTATCAACTCCTTCAACTTTTGCAACATTTCATAAATCTCTTGTGTCCTTGAATGAGACCTATCATTCACATTGAACACAAAGGTCCTGTTCTTGACATCAATCCAGCTACACCCCGTCTCTTTCCTCACCCCATTGATCCCCATCAATCTTCTGACCTCATCAGCTTCTTCCAACCTCCCATGTCGACTATAGATATTCGCAAGCAACACATAGTTTCCTGGATTATCCGGTTCCAAATCCAAAAGCCTCTCTGCAACCTCTCTTCCTATCTCAACATTGCCATGCTTTCCGCATGCCCCAAGCAAAGCCCCCCAAACAGACGAGTCAGGCTCGATTGGCATCGATTCAATGAATCTCCGTGCTTCCTCCAATCGACCAACGCGACCAAGCAAGTCAACCATGCAAGCATAATGCTCAAGTCCGGGTTCAATGGAATGAACATTAGCCATGGAATTGAAGTACTTAAAACCATCATCAACCTTTCCCGTATGGCTGCAAGCCGACAACACGGAAACAAAAGTAATGTATTCTGGCACAACCCCCTCCTTGAGCATCTCCTCAAACAATTCAATGGCCTCATTTGCACAACCATGTTGATGGCAAACTGTTATCATAGCCGTCCAACAAACCACATTGCAATCCTTAGTTTCTCGAAAAACACCGTAGGCATCAAAGAAACTCCCACACTTGCCGTACATAGTTACCAAAGAGCTCGAAACACGAGCGTTTTTCATATGCCCCGTCTTTAACACATGACAATGGATCAAGGTGCCTTGTGCCAATGCTGCAATACTTGCAGAAGCGTGAAGAAGAGAAGAGCATGAAGCCTCATCCGGTTCCACGCCTTCCCTTATCATATCCTGGAAAAAGGTGTAAGTTTGTTCGAAGTTTTGGCTATGAACACATCCCATGATCATTACATTCCACGTAACAACATCTCTATCTCCAGCACCACGGAACAGCTTAGTTGCATCCTCAAACAACCCGCATTTGCAATACATGTCCACCAGCGAGTTCTTCACGTAAACCAACCCCACCAATCCACGCTTAACAATGCTCCCATGAACTTGTTTCCCAAACCCTAGCTGAACCAACCCAGCACAAGCACTCAACACGCTGGAGAAACTAACTTGGTCGGGATCAAGTGAGAGAACCTCTCTAAAAAACCCAATGGCACGACCGTACAGTTTGTTTTTAACAAACCCCACAATCATGGAGTTCCAGGAAACAAGGTTTCGGTGGGCCATTTGGACGAACACCTTCTCAGCGAAGAACATGGAGCCACAGGTAGCGTACATGTGGAGCAACGCGGTGGCAACAAAAGTGTCAGTGTGGAAGGCGTGTTTGTGAAGCAAGGCGTGGATTTGTTGGCCCTGTGAAAGGAGTGTAGGGTGAGCGCAAGCGGGTAAGATGGCTGAGAAGGTGAACTGGTTAGGGTATATGCCGGTGGTTCGCATCTGGTTGAAAGATGTGAGGGCTTGGAAGGGTTTGTTGAAATGGGAGAGTTGCGTTATGAGTGTGGTCCACGTGACCACGCTGGTTGAGGCGCGACGGGTTGTGGCGAACAAGAGGAGAGCGTGGTTGAGGGAGCCGCATTTTGCGTACACCAGGAGGAGGGTGTTGATGTTGGCGAGGGACGTGTTATTGGTTGTAACAATTTGAGAGTGGATTTGTGTCGCGTTTTTGAGGTTCTTCACTTTTGCCGCCTTGTTCAGGAGATTTTTGAGGTCGGAAACTGAGGCAAATTGGTGGAATTTCGGAACACGAATTTGGTTGCTTCTTCTTCTTGTTATTGGCAACGCAAGTTTCGTAATAATCATCACTGAAACAAGAAATACTCTTGGTTTCTACATGCTAAGCTAACCAGAGCGAAATAATGGAAACATTGGGCCAGGCCTTCAAAATTTGGGTTGGGCTCTCGATCCGTCATGACTCGTAACTAATATTATCTTCCCTTTTTGCCCTTTCTTGTACACTCCGAGAAGGGATCTTTTCAAAGAGAAAATTAATTTATGTAGAATTATTTATGTCACTTAGGAAAATAGATACAACTATTGATTATATGTTTTAAAAATTATGAATTATTTATGTCTTGATTTACTCTATTTTTTAAATGATTTTATTCTTAGTTTGCTTTAAATTAATAATAGTTCAGTTAATTTTTAATTTTATTTGGTGTTTGATACGTTTAATTTCACACTAGTTTTCGAAACAAAAATAGTTTTTGTTAAATATTTGTTGCCATGAAACGAGTATTTATATTTTATGTTGGCGTTGTGGTTGTCTGCCACATGTGATGAAACTCTGTTGCCAGATCATTCTTTGCTTTTGTCGGTTCACTTCATTAGAGTTTCACTACCTTAAATCTTCTTATCATCAATTATTCATAGAAATATTTGAATTTGGCTCCTTTATAGTAATTCCAAACATAAAAAAAAATGTGGCAAAAAAGGGTGGATCCACATTCACATGTGAGGACAATTTTGTTGATTGGTCCATGGGATTGTGGTTCTGAAAAAGATTAAAAGAATAGGAATGTGAAGTAGCTGGCACACGTGATGGGCCAGTTCTAACATTTATGTGTACTTAGCTTAACCACAACAAAAGCTAAACAAAATAATCAATCAATGCTTCAGACATTGTCTTTCTGTTTCGAATCACTTTTTCATAAGTATTTAAATGCTTTTCAAAGAAAAAGCTAAAAGTAAATTAAAACTACTTCATATATATAAGTGATCATTTTTAATTAAAAAAAGTTTATAAGATATAGTTTTTACAAATTAGTTTACTTATATGTTTATTTTATTTTATTTTTTTCTAATAATAATTAGTGAAAATATCATCCAAATATATGTTAATGAATAATAAACTTGAGACCTTTTTTTACACCCGAATTTCACACTTGCATCAAAAGGATTCATCTTTATGAGTTATTTCTCTAATATTAAGAGTTATATTAATTATATAATTAATTTACAATTTTGATATGTCTTTAATAATTTGATTCGGGATTTTGATCTTTTTATTTTTATTTTTTTCTAGATTTGTAGTCTTTACATAAAAAAATAACAATTTTGGTATAAATTTTAATTAGCATATATATATATATATATATATATATAATTTGATTTATATTTTAATGAACTAATTTACTTTTATGACACTTTAAAAAAATATAAAGTTTAAGGTTTAATTGAAAAAAAGAAGAAGAAATAAAACATGTGTAAAATTGAAACTAACTAAATTTACAAAACTAAAAAGACATATTGAAATCATCATCATCATTATTATTATTATTATTATTATTATTATTATTATTATTATTATTATTATTATTATTATTATTATAATAAAAGAAAGATTATCCCATAAAAATATTCGATTTAAATGATATGAATCGCATACACCATTTACGCAATACACGGTCAGGAATCGCGTGCTTGTTAATGCTTATATACAAATAGTCTTTGTACTCATAGTATTCAGATTTTTTATTTATTTTTTGTATAGTTACATATTACTATTAGGAATTATCTATTCACTTATCAATGATTAAGAATCTAATGAATTTTTATTTATTTGTATACACCCTTAAAGATCATGATTAGCTTCAGTATATCGATATATTAAATATGACAAATTAATTTAATCATGTAAAAATATGTTAAAATGAAGATTATATAAATTTATCAATAATTACGAATGTTATAAATGATAGGTTTGTTTTGTATATTAATATCAATAGTATTAACTTTTTGTGAGAAATTTCAAATTAACTTATTAAACAATTTACAGTAGATTACATTTTTTTTCATATTTATCATTGCATTCAACAATAAAAATTAAAACTCTTTTGTTGATGTAATTAATTATTGATAATTGAACATATACTTATTTGTGCATGATAAAATAGAGTTAATGTTATTAGTTACTTTTTGTCAATATAGTTTGAAATTTGTTGTTAACCCTGTCAAAAATTAATTGTTAATATTTACAATATTTTTATTTATAAAAGAGTGACCATATTGTCTTTATTTCTCATATGTATTCATTTTACATATGTGGTTTAAAATTTATATATGTATTTTGAGAAAATTAACTTTTGATTTGAATAATAATAATTTAATACATTATTTTATTTTTCATTATTTATCTTCAATATAAGATTATTATTTTTCTACCACAGACTTGGAAAAATCATTTGTAAAATTCACTCATAACATTCAATATGTAAATATTTGTTTATCATTTATTTCATACATCTGTTACTTATTTGAATGACCTAAAAGCTTTCAAACTCCAATATGTTTATTAATTGAAGAGATTAAACTTTATATATATTATGGTGACATATAAAGAAAGGTAATAATTAATTGTTGATGAAGAAAAGAAATTGCATGCAACTGTTAATTAATTGATAAATGTAAATGCAAGGTGGTCCATAACCACAAAGTGGAGTGGTTAAAATGTGTGGCTTATAAATAGAGAGGTGAGGAAAAAAATAATAACAATAATAATAAAATAGTAAATATTATTATATTAAGAGAATCGGTTGTTAATTGATTGTAAACGAGAAAACTGGTTGTCAAATAAGAATTGCTCTCTTTATAAATAACCATCTCTACCCACAGACATAGTCATCATCATTCTTCAGCAGTCTCAACAGTGCCAAATTTGTGCTTCTTTTTTGAAAAATTGAGCAGTTGGCAACGCCACTTCGAAAGAAAAAGCAAAAGGGTAAGAGAAAATGGCAGATGAAAGCACACTCAACTGCATCGATATCCTCCTTGCCATCCTCCTTCCTCCTCTTGGTGTTTTCCTCAAGTTTGGCTGCAAGGTACCATGCACTCTCTGCTTCATTATTTTCTTCTTTCTATTCATTTCTTGCTTCTTCTATATATATATGTCTACTCACTTGTAATTCGTTATCATCATTATCATTGCTTTTTTCTCTGCATATTCCATATACAGGTAGAGTTCTGGATCTGTTTGTTGCTCACCATTTTCGGCTACATTCCTGGAATTATCTACGCTGTCTATGCCATCACCAAGTAAAACTCAGCATACATAATCCACCTTTTTGTAAGAAACCCTTTTTCCCTCTACTTTTTCCATTTTTCTTTAGACTCTGTACCATTGTTTTTGAACTAAACTAAAAGTATATAGTACTCATGCCATGCATGTACCAGATGCGCTGAACACTCTCCTTATAATTTATAACTATTATTATATATTATTCCATATTCTCTTAAGATCTAAGTACATGGTGTTGATTTTACATTATTAAATTACGATGTAACTAACACTGATTAATTATGTGGAAAAAGAAAATGTCATGAAGAGGATTACGATTTTCTGAAATTAACGATTATTGAAGCTGTGTTGTTGTTGGCAAATAATGGTGGTTAGGTAGTATAGCGTAGAACTTACTTTACTTTGCCAACATTTTGTTTTGTCAATTTTTGTTGAGAAATATTAAAGAAGTGGACCTCACTTTTTGTTTTGTGTGAAGGAGGTGGACCTTCTTGTACAGAGTAGTGAAAATCAATGCTTTTTTGTTGGCAGGTGAACAGTGAATAAGTTTGAAAGAAAGACGGATCTGCATGATTCTCAAGTTGGACGTAAATTGTTGATCTTAAATGGACAAACGTGATTCTTTCTAGTTTTCTGTTTATCAGTATCAATATTCCTTTTTAGTGTTGTCTTTTTAATTAATCCTTAGTTGTCTTGTGTGGAAGTCAAATGTAGACGTTGTGCCCTCTCGTCTATTCTTCTATAATTATCTTCTTCTTCTTTTCGTATACGTTAATGTATTCAGTAAGTTTTAATTTTATTTAAAATAAATGTGTTAAATACACTTTCCTTTTCTTTTTCCTTTTCAAATCGATAATGGTTTTGGTGAAGTTTATGAAATCTTGAATGATCTGGATGCATCATTTTAACGTATCTGGCAGCCAAGATATGGGCATAAAGCTTACTCAAAATCGGATCAGAGAAAAGAACCAACTTTATTAGCGATACATTAAAGTTTAATATTTTTACTACATTCTATTAAAATCGTTAGTCCTCTTTTTTTCACAATTTTTAAATAGATTGATTGGTCCCAAGTATATCAGACACACTGCATTAATTAATTAACTAATTAATAAACAACACTTAAAAAAGGACACAAGATTCAAACTGTTTAAAGCATTTTTCACTACTACAAAATATACTTTCTACGTCGTCATTTAACGTCGGTTATAGCTGAGACGACGTAGAAAGTACTTTCCACGTCGGTTCCAGATGAACCGACGTTGAAAGTTGAATATTAAACACATTCTACGTCGGTTCTTAGTCAACCGACGTAGAAAGTACTTTTACGTCGGTTCCATATGAGCCGAGCGTTGAAAGTCGTTTTATTTTTTATTTTTTTCACCCAAAAATTCAATTAAATTTGAAAATTGTCCTCGCAGGATTCGAACTCGGGATTTTAGAATTGGAAACTAATACTCTAACCACTAAACTATTATAATTTCCCGATAATAACTTACAAATAAATTATATTTATATACAAATAAATATATATCCATGTAAATATATATTTATTTGTATATATTTTCTCGGAAAGTATTTTTATTTTTTTTTCAACCAAAAATTCACTTAAGTTAATGAATTGTCAACGACGACATTTGAACCCAGTATTTTAGGGTTGTAAGTTAATATCTCAACTACTAAACTACTACAAATTTTTGATAATAACTTACAAATAAATTATATTGGTATTTTTTGATCGAGGGTGAAAGTGTGATTGACTCTCGCTTGAGTGAAAATATGTTAAAGCTCACGGAAATTCACTCACTCAAGTCTCGCTTGAGCAAAAATTGGTATTTTTCGTTTGAGAGCGAATAACGCGTTTCCCAATTTTATTTTATATTATTATATAAATAAAATTATAAAAATTATATTATGTCATTAAATTACAAACTCATATAAAGATACCTGCTCACAAATTTAGCATCAAATTTTGAAAACCTACTCGACACACACTTTCACTTTCGAGTGTACCCTCACATTCAACATATAAATATATAACTATATAAATATATCAAAATATATAAATATATTTGTATTTATATATTTATATATTTACACGGATATATATTTATTTGTATATAAATATAATTTATTTGTAAGTTATTATCAAAAAATTCCAGTAGTTTAGTGGTTGGAGTATCGACCTCCAACTCTAAAGTACTTGGGTTCGAATCTGTCAATGACAATTCTCTTAAAAAATTAATAAACTTCTAAAAAATATAATATAAAGAGATGGAGGACCTAATAAAAATATAATATAAAGAGAGAGGAGACTTCTAAATAAATAAAGGGGGTAAAGGGGTTGTAAATAAATAAAAATTATTAATTTAAAAAATTATACTTTCAACGTCGGTTCTAATAAACCGACGTTGAAGGCTTTATTTGTAGTAGTGTTTGCATACATAATTTAGTCATTCTGTAATATTTTTATTTCCTTAACTATTGAATAAAAATATTAATACATATTATGGTTAGAGTATTGAGTGTATGTATGTTTTCATATAAATATTAAGAAAATGAACAAAAAAAAAAATTGTTAAGAGATATTGCAGTGGAGAAACAAACTCACCATTGAGGCTTCTTTGTTTGATATATATCACAATTTATAAGCATCCCACTGTAACAACAATAAATTAATAATTTTGTTTTAAGTATTTTAGTTTAACCTCTTTTTCTTTTTTTTAAATGATTTTAATTCTTAAACATTCAATTTAAAGGACTAAAATCATTTTAAAAATAGCTTCAATATGTGTTTAAGATTTTAAATCATATTATTTTTTAATCTGAATGGTTATTTTAATTTTGGAGAACTTACACCAACTTTATTCTAAATTTTAGAGACGAAATATTATTAAACTTAAATTAATTAAATAAGTAAACTTTCAAATTGTTGGAAATATAAAATAACACTCTTTTTTTTAAGAGGTATAATATTGTTAGAACAAGCTTAAAAACACATTTACTTTTTAAGAGGAAGAAAAATGAAGAGAAATACAGGATGAAAAAAAAAACTTTTTCATTCATCACACGTTTTGGATTATATTGTAATATTTTTCCTTAATCCAAAATATTCAGATGATTTTAATTTCTGCAACATTATCAACTTCTTAAATCTTTCATGTTTCAAAGGCTTGGTAAAAACATCAACAACTTGATCATTTGTGTTATAATAATATACAAGCTCCAATCTTCCTTCCTTACTTGATCTCTAAGAAAATGATATTTAGTTTCAATGTACTTACTTTTCTCATGAGAAACTGAATTCTTTGACAAGCTAATGGTTGATTTATTGTCAACATACATCTTTACTGACCTTTCATACTATAATTTCATTTCTTCAAGTAAGGTTTCCAGCCACAAACTTTGACAAGCAACTTCAACTGACCCTATATATTTAACTTCGCAAGAGGAGAGTGTCATCATACTTTGCTTCTTTGAATATCAGGATATTGGTGCATCCAGATACCTGAACAGGTACCCGTAGGTACTTTTTCTCTCAACCTTATCATCACATCAATCTGAATCAGAGTAATCAATCTGAATCAGAGTAAGCTTCAATGCATGATCTATTTTGATCATTCCTAACTAGAAACAATAAAACAAAATCACTTGTTCCCTTAAGATATGCTTGGCCGCAATCATGTGAGAAGCTTGAGGATCGCTCATAAATCTGTTAAACAAATCCACTCCATAACTAATGTCGAATGTATTAGTGCACAAGAATCTAAGTAAACCAATAATTTGTTTAAACAATGTTGCATCAACTAATTTTTCATCAAGTTCTTCTGTTAATTTTAATTTTGGTATCACGAATACTATAGTTGTGTTATAATTCTCCATGTTAATTCGTTTCAGAATCTCACTAATATATTTTCTTTGGTGTAAGAAAATTCCCTTTTGTGTATGCATAAATTCAAAACCAAGGACATAATACAAAATTTCAAGATCTATCATGTCAAACCTTGACTTCATTTTTTCTTTGAATTGCTCGATTTCTTCATTCACATCATTTGTAACGATTAGATCATCCACATACAGGCATACAAATAACAAGTTCTTGTGTTGGGTTTTCTCTATATATGCGTCAAACTCTATTATACATTCACAAATCCTTGTTCGCCAGGAAAATTGTCAATTACTCTATTCCAGGCTACAGTTTCATCTATCACGACATCTCTGCTAATCACCACTTATTTCTTTAAAGGACTGTAAAGTTTGTATGCACCAGTCGGATGATATCCAACTAAGATAAGAACTTCATCCTTATCACCTAACTTTCTTCTTCTTTCATCTGGGATGTGCCTGTAGTTGAGTGACCCAAAAATTCTCAAATGATTCACTGTAGGCTTGTCCCTAGTCCAAACTTCTTCAGGTGTTATAGATTGAAGTTTCTTTATAGAACACTTGTTCAAAATATATTTTGTTATGGTGACAACTTCTCCCCAAAAGCAATTTAGTAGTTCTTTCCCTTTAAGCATACATCTAGTCATATTTAGTAGAGTTTTATTTCTCCTTTTTGTCAAGCCATTATGCTGAGGTGTATAGGGGGTTGTTATCTCGTGTAATATCTTTAGTTTCATAGAATCCTTTGAACTACTTAGAATTATACTCACCTCCTCCATATGTTCTAAGGAATTTTAGTTTCAATTTAGATTGTCTTTCAAATGAGTTGCAAAACTTCACAAATAGAGAAAACACTGCACTTTTTCCTTTCAGCAAATATTTCCAAATCTTTTTGGTAAATTCATCCATAAAAGTCAAGAAATACCTATTACCACCAAGGGATGGAGTATTAAAGGGTCTACACACGTTTAAATGAACTACTCCAAGAGGTTGTTTGACTCTTTGTGGTACTTTGGTCTTGAATGTTTTTCTAGGTTGTTTGCCAATCAAGCATCCTTCACAGGTTTTTTTGTTGATCGAATGGATGACATTTGAAGCACCATTTGTCTACTGCTTAGTTGATGCAAACTTT